TTAGAATCTCTTCTGGATAGAATTAAAAGAGCCTGAAAAAAATATCATTATTATTAATATTTTATTTTAACTCTACTGTCTTTGTGATTATAGATCTATGATAAATTACATCCACAGCCTCTCTTAAGCAGAGGTATTATAAAAGTAGCCGATTGGGCCTCAAGAACTCAGAGGAACCGTTTGAAGGACACTTCTGGACATGCAGGACTACTGTAACGATTTGATATTTTTAAAACCCCCACAAAACTAAAAACAACTTAGTAGATTAGCTAGGGTTTTAGCCCTTTTTCTATAATAAGCCTTTGTCCTGGGCACAAATGGTTTGTTTGTCTACAGAGGCAGCTTGTTGGTGGAATGTCAGCACCAGTAGACTCCATACCCTTTGATCTCTTCCACTAATCATTCTTCCCCTATGCAGCCGTAGTCAGGTGGCTTTCCTTCTTGGAACATCTGCTTAGCTATAAAAAGTAGTAGGGGGAGGGGCAGATGCTCTGGGAAAAGAAAATCTAATCACAAAAGGAGAAGTCTAATCCCAAAGGAGAAGTCAGAGGAAGACGAAATAAGAAATAATCTTTGAGAAAGGACTTTTTGATACCATAAATTTAAGTGGATGTCTGCATCCTTCTTGTAGTATGAGTAAAATGCTGCTTTGAGTATTCTCTGGGTGGAATTCTTTTTCTCCTTGTTCATTTCCGCCCCCTCCATCATTTAGTTAGGAACGAATGCTTGCCAATGATGCTCTTTCTAAGAGGCGATCTTCATAAAACTGTAGATAGTTTAACATGCATACCACAGAAGGTGAAAATACATTCAGAGTGAGCACCAACTGGAAAACCCTCCTTCTCAATAACACAGAACAAATAATTTTTATAGATTTTCCTTAAAATGCTATAACACGTTTGAGAGAAAAAGGCTACGTGGCTGTGTGAAGCCTGAAATACTAGAAGACAACTACTAAAAAATGTTTGACAGACAATGTGATTACTGGCTTCCGTTCAACTAGATCCTATGTGGTTTAAACATCCTGGTACACAAGTCCTTTCCACATCTTATGCGGTGATCTGCTGCATTGGCATGAGTTTTGGTGAGACCTGGTAAAAGAAAAGTAAGAAAAAAAAATAGATTATGACATATGTTGAGTAAGCATTTCTCCTCTGAATTTCCAAAGTGTGATGTGAGTCACAAGCACCTCACATGAGCATTCCTTGGAATTATTTCCTTTCCCCCCTTCCCTGTCTACATTATAGGTTTGGAAGCAGGAATGGCATCCACTTCCTAAACAACATGCCTCTGGAAACTCTATGAACTTTGAAAAATGGTGATAGTTATAGAAAGGCTTCAGGTCTTTTGTTCATAGGGTCACTACAAGTTGTGTTTCACTCGACGGCAATCAACAACAACAGCATTATAGGTATTTGGTGCTTTTCAGGATTCTTGCCTTACAGCTTGTAAGACAAGGTAAATTCAAGTTGGCAACAAAGTACCAAGATGATGACAACTGTGTAAGATCAATCTGATATGTCTGCTTGGCCGGGCCACAGTGCCCAGCTTTTTGGTAGCGTGTTCTTCTGGATGTGGTGATGTAGCAGTTCTACGTGGTTAAACCAGTCTGTTTAAGTAAAGCACACTGTCCACACTGGGGACAATGGCTATAGAAATCTCCAACCTGATGCTTGACTCCCTACAATCATGTTGTTGTTGTTGTTACGTGCCGTCGAGTCGTTTCCGACTCATAGCGACCCTATGCACAACAGCCCTAAACCCTGCTCTATCCTGCGCCAACCGCACC